GTGTAATTAACTAATTGCGACAACCAATAATGAAATATGCCCTCAGGGTCCTCCGAAAAAGGGGGGGGGGGGGAGGGGGAATGAAGGACCCAACTTTAACAATACCAACAGTAACGACAATGCCAGTCCCCGAATCTTGATTTTTGCCCAACGACCGGGCTGGGCATGCACCTGTGGGAAACGCTTTACAGGAGAGCATAATCTAAGAATGAAATAAGAGGGCAGTACGCAGTAAGCGTCAGTGCATAGCTACTCCTGTAGTTAATGAGTCGTCGGGGGCGACGGGCAGGGTATCCCCCAATCGCCCATAGAGGCACAAGACTTTTATCACTGAGGCGCAACCTTGCTGATTTCTGACGACGTGCGGGCTAAGATCAAGTTTTAGCCGCAAGCGATAAGGTGTCATGGTGTAAACTGGACGGTAATCTGTGTGAGATAAATAATGGTGAGTTAAAGAAAACAAAATTGCTAGATGACAAGCAGGCAAGATTTGGTGACATAATTTGCACGCACTGTGCCTACAAGTATGGGACAGCAAGGGAAAAGCAGGAAGCAGAGGGACATTGAAAAGTGCCAAGCTGACAAGAACAAACTTAGAAAACGGTTCAAAGCCGCCACGGGCAGCGAACGGGAATGGCTGTACAAGGTCTGGTTGTACCTGAGAGCCAGATACAGTGCCCTCTGTCACGCCGAGCTTTTCTGCACGAACAGAAGGGGAACCAAAAGTTAAAGAGAGAAATTCTGAGGGACCCATTCCAGTTTGCCTGAGGCCTGTAGGAGCAACCAAAGTCTGGGACTCTGGTAGTCAGTCAAGAGGAGTTAGAGTCACATCTACTGAAGATGTACTTTGACGGGACAAGGAACGAAGCTTTTGATGACAATCCAGAGATTACAAGCAGCCTGATGCTGTCTGAGTTGCCGAAGGCAAAGTTTAGAACAATGCCTTCCTCTTGATCTGCAGAAGTCAGTCAGTCAGTCAGTCTGGAGAATGCGAGCATGATCTGGGAGAGTATTCAGAGAGTTAAGGCAAGTATATGGTTGGAACACGCCAACATCTATGGGGCGGTACCCCATTAGCTATTGTGGCATGCACTCCGCATGTTCCACGTAGCCACACAGATCACCGAAATTATCGAACAATACTTCTCTATTTTCGCCATACGCTTCTCTACCGTGACGTTTACGGCGAGATGGACTGAACTCCAGGTTGGGAAAGCGATGGGATGTGCGATTTCGCCTGTACTGTTGGCCGTGCAGGTGATGTTAGATAAGGACTTCAGATTGGGGATTATTGGATGCTGCCACTGAGAGCTTTCATGGACGATACGATTATTATTACGGGCAGCGAAGGTAATGCTATTCTAGAAAGGTTGGATCGCGTTGTCGAATGGTGCATTATGCAATTCAAGCATCAGAAATCCTTGAGTCTGTAAATCGTGAAGGGCAAGGTGATGGCGATCAGTTTGACGGTGACAAGGAAAACGATCCCCACGGTTCTAGAGGAATCAGTGAAGAGCCTCGGTCGCGTCTACGATTCCCGGTTATCCGATAGAACGGAAGTCCAGCGCATACCTGAGTCAGTGACAACAGGTCTACATGCAATCGAGCAATGCAGGCTGATCGAAAAGTTCAAGGTGTGGTGCCTCCAGTTTATGTTGATCCCTAAGCTTCTCTGACCGCTGCTCGTTTACGAGGTCAACATGACAGCAGTGGAGGCGATAGGGAAAAAATTATTAATACCGCCGTGGGGAGGTGGCTCGAAGCTCCGCCTTGTCTGACTGATTTCGCTCTGTATTGTAAACAGGCTAAGCTGGTACTCCCATTCAAGTCCATAATGGAAGAGTTAAAAGTCAGCAAGATGAGACTCGCGATGATGCTGCGCGAGTCCTCAGACCCCATAGTAGCAGCTGTAAAGCCCCCTCTCATAACAGGCACGAAGAGAAGGTCCTAGATGGGATAGAACCTGCCCAGCAAGCACTAAAATTGCAAGAGGTCATGGTGTACACATAAACCAACCGACGCGGCCTAGGGCACCAGAAAGTCAGTTGGTGGTCGAAAGCCTCAACGAAAGAACGCAGAGCCATTGTAATACAGCAGATCAGGAACACCGAAAACGAAACTCGGGTCCAAAGAGCAGCCCAGCAGTTGCAGCAAGGCCAGTATCTCGGCCTCGAGAGCGCCTTGCCACGAACACTCACCTGGGGCGAGATCTGGGAAATGGCACCGCTGCTACTGAGTTTTGTAATCAGATCTGCCTACGACGTTCTATCCTCGCAATCAAAAATGCTGAAATAGCATGTGACCACCGACCTGACATGCCGACTTGAGTAGTATTATCCGCGCTAAGGAAAGCCCTAGGTCAGGGGCGGTATATATGGCGCAAAAAAAAAGTCCTAAAAGAGTTAGCAGGCATTGTGGACCAAGGCAGGATGAGAGCCAACGCAAGGCCAGTCCTACCGACACCCCCCCCACCCCCTTTTTTCCCCTCCATGTCCTTCCTTAAGGCGGGGCAGATTTATAAAGATAAAATCCACAAAGTCGCACACTCTCTATCAGTACTTGACGGTGGAAGGGTCTGGTTACTGGCTATCGACCTGCCAGGTTTTGAGAGGTACCCAGATTTAATCAGAAAGACCGATTCATGTTCAAGACTTTTTGTAACAAACAATCCTCTGTAAAATTAAATGGATAGGGGACAAAACAGTGCATCTTGGGCAGATTCTATCGCATCGTGGAGAAGGATTTCGGCCCGAAAGAAGCTCTTTAGATAAAATAGTTACTTTCAAACTTATTTCAGAAGATTTATTTTAAAAAAAAAAAAAGCTATATTTTGAATTTCACCGATTTTAAGAAGTTGTTTGATAGTTTACACAAAATATAAATTTAGTGAATTTTGGAATGTCGTGGATTATGATAAACCAATAAAACTAGTACGCATTATCAAAGTATTGTCTGAAAGGTTCTGCGAACGAAAGATGTTTAATTGACTGGTTTGCAATTGAAGCTGGAGTATTTGATCTCTGCTCGTATTTGATAGTTACTGACTGGCTGATAAAACAATGCTATGCTGACAGGGCGGAGAACACATAACTGAAACATGACAATTTTGCAGATGATATTGTTCTGCTCATTAAGAATAGCAATGATACGCAACGACAAACAGACAGAAAATATTGCAGTTTTCCATTTGAGTGGGTGGTAATTTCTGCATCATTTCCAAACAGCAACTCTCTGATTAAGTCCCTTCTTTATCCTAGTTTTAGCCGCCTTCAGATCGAAAATGCGTGATTATACCATCCTCCTTTTACTCGAAAGGCATATTACAAAAGGGAATGAGAAGTATATTCCAAAGAGTGTAGAAACAAGTGACCCACCCACCCACACACACCCGCACACACACACACACACACACACACACACACACATTCAAAATGAAGTAAGTCACTAAAGAGCGGCTCATCTCACTTGTGTCTATGTATATATACACATGTTCTTAGATGCAAAATAATTGAATGCATTAAAATTCATAAATTCATACCGTTCATGTCCTAAAGAACTGTTGACTTCTTGATCTAATGCTATGAACATTGAAATACAACGTATCCTCATTTCCACTGTTCACGTTATTCCCATTCTTTGGCGTCATTTATAATTAACCCAGTTATTACAATGATATTTTGTTTCGTGCTGTCAATATATTTGAAATAGAGAGTTTTTGGCTCCATTGTTTCACAGTCCGATCAGCTTGTGTTACAGGCAAACTAGTGTAAATTAATTATAGACAGCTGTGAACTGACGTAGACTAGGGCGCCACGGCCTGCTTCTGTCAACCAGAGGCATTCTTAACGGCCACTGATCGGTTACGCCCTTCTGAAGTCGGGTAATCCCCGGCCTAAACGGTGATTGTTCACCACAGCCTGTGTGCTTCAACAGATGCTTGGAGTTAGGATATAATGCCAATCGTAGGCTGTAAAAACCACCGCACTGCACAAACACAAACACACACACACAGACACACACACAGAGACACACACAGAGAGAGACACACACACACATAGACATAAGACGCACCACACACAACGAAATGAAATTTCAAGCGCCAGGTTGCAACTCAGAATTCCATACCTACGTGCAAACGAGCATTCCACTAACCTTGAAGATTTGAGGAAAACGACTGCAGTTGATGCCCAACTTAGTCAAACTTAGCATAGGCATCGTTGGACTACAGGAGGACCGCCTCTTCGAATATATATACATTATAAGGGGGGAAAAAAACCTAGGCATTGTTTTGGAAAAGCTGGGACCACGGAGATTTGCAGAGAAGAATTTACTGTTGTGGTTAACTCTTTGAGTCCCAAGGAATGCATCATACGTTCATGGCTTCCCACCTAGAAGCCCAATGAACGCATGATGCGCCGATTTTATGACTTTATTTAATACCCCCTGGGCTTGTGATGCTAAACCCCCTGGGACTCAAAGAGTTAAGGAAGAGTCTAGCCAGAGACAATTGCAGACGAATAGTCTCTACGACTGTCTACTTCTTGTTATTATATTTGCTTGTTATTTCAAAAAGAAAACCATGCATTCAATGTGACTGTTACAAATGCTAGCTATAAATACCCCAGACCAGAAATTAAACTCAACGATAGGTCAGACAATAATAACAATTAGCAGATAAACAACAAAGAGTTTCGGAGAAGATAATGTTAATATCTAACTGAGTTGTAATGTCCCCTTGTTTAGAGTGGGGAGGGGGAATAGACCCAACTCCCCTCAACAATGCGATCAACTGGGAGTTTGCTGATATTAGATATGTTAGACAGAAGGGAGCAGATATCGCAGCCTAACTGTAAATCACAACCAATACAACGTACCAGCCGCCCTTTTGAAGGTGGACACAAAAAACGAAGAAGAATCTCAAGATTAAAACAAAAACTCTTGTCTGAAAAGCACGTGTCTTTTTCATCGTCGTCACACTTAGTAAACTTACATGCACCAAGACAATGAGACAGATAGCTTTCACGATTACTCATTCCCATATACCCCTCCCAGTCCCCACCCCCGGGAAAAAATAGCACAGAAAGTGTACATGTTCTTTCTAAGCTGCTGAACGGTTCACTGTTTATCCCCTATATCATATTTAAATGAACCTGCATATGTGGCTGAATAGTCTTCACATGCTACGATTCCACCCTTCCCGTAAAGGTGATAACTATGAAGAAATCAGGGAGCTCTACATGGTAATTTCTACCAGTCCATTTAATGAAGCTTTTTGTTGTAGCTCACGTGACACGCTATTTACGGAAAACGCTGTACGTAGTCATGAAGATCCAGGATCTGCAGGTGCTACAATGCCATATCTCTGTCGGAGACAATACCGGTAACTGTAGTTATATATGTACATAGCAATGATTTTTATTGGCCTTTTGGGAGGTTGCTACGATGAAGTTAACTTGTCCTGCTTGGTGAACTATCAACACTCTTTCTTCTTTACATTGGTTTTGTCTGATCTTTTTGTTTTTTAATCAACTGTGGAAACATCATTGTTGATTTGAATATTTGAGACGTCTGGCTTATATAGCCACTGTTTGCCTATAGTGCATTACAATTGATATACATGTTTCTTCTTTCTTTCTTGAAGTTCCATTCCTGTTACTTTTTCCTAAGGTTAGGTAAATTACCTGATTAATTTCAGGTGTTGGTCAGAAATAGGGCAGTTGAAAAGTGATCTGAATACAACAAAACTACTATAGTCCTCATCCCCGAGTAGTGTCTGTTGGTTTACATCTGGATCTGGGATCACTCCTGAAAGATCTACCAACAAAATTGAAACCTTCCTTAACAAGATAGCCATTTCCCATCGTGACAGTCATGCGGTCTAAATCCTCCATAGGGTGCCAACTGATATATTAAAATACTACTCTAGCATCATATGGCCAAAGCCCCTTAACGGGTAATAAGGAGGCCTTTGTCCATTTAACAAATGTTGACACAGAATTTGAACTTTTTTTCAACAAAGAGATCAACGGCAAGACAATCGCGTCGAATCGGTTCTAAAGGTTAACACAAATTTCAAATAAAATTACACGTAAATCCTAGTGGGAATTTTAATCAACTCTGATGCCGTATTTTCTGCTCACAGTCAGCAGCTGCTTGTGCACTTTTACAATTTCCAACATCTCATCTACAGAGTGTGTCATCGCGTTTTCTTAAAACAATTCTCTGTCAAATACAGAAATAGAACATAGAGTGTCAACTTCCAATACATCACTATCGTATGAAAAGCTTTCCTCTTCCAGACAGGCCCAAGAGAGTCATTGATTTCAGATTCATTGTTATTGTTTAGTTTTAATTGCGTGTTCAGTATATTTTTCAGTATGGATTTGTCACCATTAGCATACATATTAATTTTATCATTACTATTAGTATTTCTTTTAATTTTATTGCTTTTCACATCCCATTTACAAGACAAACGATTTCCCAACGTTCAAGTACTTAATTTATGTTGCTGCGAAACCAAACGTTTTAATGAATTAGCTGCTTTTCTTTGAATAAAATAGTTTTTATGAGAGAGTAGGTTCTTCCAAAGCAAAATATTTAGCTATTTAGTATTTTCTCTGTTGGTCTCCCGCTGCCTCTCTAACCCTCTTGTCCGTTGCTGTTCTTGCTGTCTTCTTTGACCTCCCTCGGGCTTTCGATACAGTTTGGAAAGAGGTCCTACAACTAAAACTGCTACAGGCAGGAGTTGTGCACAACATATACAAGTGGATCAAATACTTTCTTTTCCAACGCAGAGCCAGATTCAGAATTGATGGAAACATCGGCAAACTGGCAAAACTAAGAGAAGGAGTTCCCCAGGGCAGAACGATAGCACCAACTCTGTTCCTGATTTACATAAATGATATCAAAGCAACCTGCCACCAGCACGTTCATAATACCCTACATGCTGATGACTTTGCAGTTTGGACAGCCTCCGAATACACTACCACAGCCTCATATCTGTTACAGAAAACTGTGGAAAATGTAGAAGCCTGGACCGAAATGTGGGATCTAAAGCTAAATAATTCAAAAATCACAGCATCACTTTTCTCCCTCTCCCCCCCCCCCCCCCAAGAAAAAAATCGAAATTTGGGTAAAAAAACCAGCTCATTCCACAGACTGACACTCCTACCTTTCTTGGCGTTACACTTGATTCGCGACTAACTTGGAAGTCACACGTAGAAGCAGTACAGGGGAAAGCATTCAAGAAGCTTGCAGTGATGAAAAAAAAATTTGCGGGTACCACATGGGGCACTAACTCCAGAATCCTAAAACAAGTATATACTGGAGCAGTCAGGCCAATCATGGAATGTGCCTCCACTGCATGGGCTGCAGCAGCCAAGACAACAATGGGAAAACTGGACAAGATTCAGAATATGGGATTAAGGATTGTTCTCGGAGCCATGAAAACCACCCCCATCAGAGAGATAGAGAGGTTTGCAGATACTGAACCACTCGAACTCAGAAGACAATACAAAACTCTTTTACAGTATCAGAAATTAAAAAGACTTCAAAGTCACCCACTGCATTTTAATTTCAAGAGAGAACAAAAAACAGACTGAAGCGTCAGAGCACCAACCACCTTGCTAGAGAACTGTACAGACAGCACAAAGATCTGCTTGAAAGAGATGTAGCACTGTGCGAAAAACTTAGGCCAAAACCATGGACAAGCAAGCCAGAGAAGGCAAATGTAGTCCTAAAGGTACCAAGGATCACTTTAAAAGATGCCCAGACGGAGACACAACAGAGAACCCTGGCTCTTGCTATGCTTGATGAGAAGTATCCAAACACCACTTGGACTCAGGTTTTCACCCACGGCTCTGCTACAGATGCAGTCAGAAAGGGGGGTTGTGGAATATACATTAAACCCCCTAGCAGTAGAGCAGAAACTCTCTCTCTACCAGCAGGTGACATCTGCACGAACTTCAGAGCTGAGGCAACTGCCTTTTTTTCTGCAGTCCAACATCTCAATACTCAAGAACACAGAGGGCACAAAATTGTTATACTTAGTGACTCATTGCCTGTTCTCCAAGCACTATCAAGCAAAAAACAAGACAAACTAATTGCAGATTTAAGGACCAACATTGGCTCACTCTCCAAGGAAGCAGAACTGGTCTTGCAGTGGATACCAGCCCATTGTGGTATTCAAGGAAATGAGAGAGCAGATGAGTTGGCAAAAGCTGGGAGTAATCTTCCACAACCTCATCTACCACACAGCTACAAGGGAACTAAAATAGTGCTAAAGCAGTCTTTCAAGCAGGAGTGGAAAAGGCAGAATCGAGATTACAGACCAGAGAGTGACAGCATAAACAAACTCAACATGAAAGAACAAACATCAATTTTTAGACTTCGGTCTGGACACTGTGGTCTTCGAGGATACCTGTACAGGATAGGCATAAAAGAATCTGCTGCCTGTGATTGTGGAGCAGAAAGACAGACCCCTGAGCACATACTGCAGTACTGCCCTTACCTCTCCCAGCAAAGACTGTGGATCTGGCCCAGGGGATCCACATTGCGAGAGAAGCTATGGGGGACCGGTGGCGACCTTAAACGCACAATCCTATTTTTGACCCAGATGGGACTCAGTGCTTAGCATGACTGACGTTGAACGCAGAAGAAGAAGAAGAAGAAGACGTCCGTTGTCATAAAGTACTCCAATGTTCCTCTTTTCACAACACGTCTACAAATTTTAACTGCTTTTTTCGCCAGTCATTTTCTTTCAAAACTTCTTTATTTTTGCCTTTTGTGTGTGTGTGTGTGTGTGTGTGTGTGTGTGTGTGTGTGTGTGTGTTTGTTTGTTTGTGTGTGTGTCCATACTGTTCTTATCATTGTTCTTTAAAAGAAAATCTCCGCAGCATAAATATGATTTGTAGCTAATCGACTGATTGGCCACGATACACTTTATGGAGTGACTTTATACAGCTTTGAGAAGGTACATCAATAAACTAGAGATTCTTCATCCAGTAAAATCATTTTTTAAAACTATTCTTAGCTGAATTTCTTTATTACATCCCTTATCTGTCGTTGTCAGGAAAGATATGTACTTAAACGAATTGGCTTGGTACAGACCTGTACGATTTATTTTGTTGTTCCATTTTGTCGAATGTAGCGTGTGTGCGACGGTGGCCACATCACGGGCAACAGTCGTGGCTGACTGGTTAAACTACATGAGTGAAGGGGGAGTATTTTCCCACTACTTTGAAATGCCCATCCCTACTGGAGGAAGACTGGGACGGTGAACAAGGCGGAAAAATCTATAAAGATCATGGGCTTGTAAAGCGAATCAGCAGAGTGCATGGCACACACGAGGTGTGTTCAGGACACAATAGTGAACACGGCTGGTCATCATGGAAGAGAATGAGACCTCACCATGCATCACCCTAAGTATCGGAAACTATATTGACTTATGCTAGCTACATGAAGTGGGATTAATATATATATATATATATATATATATATATATATATATATATATATATATATATATATATATATATATATATATATATATATTAATTATGGAGGCAAACATCATAAGCGTGGAGTAGGACCTCTAGTAAGACAAAATATGGAGAAGAACATTTATGGATTATGGGCTTATAAAGATAGAATTATATTAATCAAAATTAAAGCAACAACCTTTCGATATAGTAATTTTGCAGACTTATGCATCAGCAACAGGCTATAATGATAAACAGATGGTAGAATACTACCAAGACCTTAACTTAAAGTAGAGAAATCGTCAGAGGTCTTAATATTTATTGGAGATATGAATGTAAAAGTGGGGAAAATGATACATAAACATATTTTAGGTCTGCAAGGTATTGGAACCAGGAAGGAAAGAGGTGATAAGCTGATAACAATTTTGTGAGGAGAACCAGCTCATTGTTTGTAAAACTTTCTTTCAACATTCACCTAGGAAACGGTATACGTGAAAAAGTCCTGGAGATTGAAGTAGAGAACAGACTGATTATATTATGATTAGAAACTGATTTCCCCACAGTGTTGTGAATTCCAAAGCATATCTTGGTGCGACGTAAACTCAGATCACAACCCCGATGTCATAAAAATGCACATAAGATTTACAAAATTCTTTTCAAAAAGCATCAGGGGAATCTCAGAGAGACAAATTAGTTTTGAAGCAACTAGATATAGGTCAAGAGTGTCTGGTTAAAGTGAAAAATACACATGACAAGCTAATAGTTGAAAACATCGAACAATATCGGCATGAAAATCCAGAGAAGACAATCAGTACAAATTATGAATGTTTTAAAATTGATATACAGACATCAAATGCCAACTTACCACTGGGAGAAAAAAAAATCAAGTATAGATGATTGAAGAAATTATGAATAAAATGATTAAAATAATTTTTAAAAAGCAGAAAACACTACTGAGTGTGCGACAATAGATACAGAAATTGTAGCATGTGCAGAGTTGCTAAAGAGACATGGATTCTGGAGAAATGTAAAGAAATAGAGGAACTTAAAAGTAAATAATAACACACAAGAAGTGCATGTAAACATAAGAAAAATCACAAACGGGAGAGAACATTTAACAGGAAATAGTTGCTTCGGAGAAACAGATGGAGAATTTTAGTTGGTAAGAATGATATAATCAAAAGTTGGACTAAATACACGGAAGACCTATTTTAGGATATTAGAGGCATCCAACCAAAACTGTTTAATCTTCAAGATGGACCAAACATTTTTTAAAAATAAAGCTAAAACGGAACAATTATTAAAAATATGAGCATGGAAAATATATATGTCCTGACAAAATAACAACGGAAATGATAAAAACACTATTCAGCTTTGGCGCTGATAGCATCACTGAA